GAGGCTTAGAAGCAATAAGCAGTTTGACCAAGGCCATGAGCAGCTAACAAATAATGGAGTTGGGAGGCAAAATAAGGTATGTCTGACTCCAAAGTCTGGAACCTTAGCTCCTATGTTCTCATAGAAAACCATGTCACATAACCACAAAAGGCCAGTGTCGTGAGGGGTCACCCTATTTCTTTATTTGTTTATTTTTAGGGACCAGAAAATGCACGTTATTATTAAAAAATGAAATACTGTGTGAGGAAAAAAATCAAATGTTGAATGTAGCCTTGAAGTGGAACCCAAGTGGTTACCTTAATATTTATTTCAGAGGACAATGCTATGGAGCAGAAGAAATTTCATATGGGACTCTACTCATTAAATATTTGAGTTTGGCTTCAGTGACCATTTCTGCTTTCCTCCTCCAGCCTGACCAGATGTGCTCAGAAAATTTGGTTCCCCCTGAATATGTACATCTGTCAAAATTCCTGTCAATTTTAGCACGACTGCCAAGGGAGTGAACAAAGAGAGTTAGTGATTAACTTCAAAGAACTTTGTTGGAGAGGAATAAAGATATTTAAGGCCTATTTTGTGAACTAATTGCATTTGCATATTTATGGGATTTACTGATATAGCAGTAATTAAAAACTATTTAGTAGTCTTAAAGGACACATAACTCAGTTGCTGTTTGCATAATAAACACTTCCTTATTATGTTTGCATAATAAACCGTCTCCCCCTGCTTCTTCCAAAAGATTGGCCCATCTAAGGGGTGCCATATCTTACTTGGAAATAATGGAAAACAAAGTGTGCAAGGACTCATGGGAGTGTGGAGAGGAGACCTCTGAAATAAATATATCGCTAGATGCTCTCTTAATGATTGGCCTGGCCTCAACTGCTATTAGAGAATGGCGGATTTAAACCTCAGATTGTCTTTCTTTTTCCCAGGTGATGTTTAAGAAGCCTTACTTCGTATCCCCTGACAATTCCACTTCTTTTACTTTAATACCCTGATTTGTTTGAAGTGCCTGAATGGGGTTCACCTTGTACTCATCCTTCCTAAAGAGATGTCTTGTGTGTGTGTGTGTTCAGTTGTGTCTGACCCTTTGTGACCCCATGAACTCTAGCCCACCAGGCTTCTCTGTGCATGGGATTTTCCAGACAAGAATACTGGAGTGGGTTGCCATTTCCTCCTCCAGGGGATCTTCCTGACCCAGGGATCAAACCTGTGTCTCCTGCATTGGCAAACTGATTCTTTACCCCTTGAGTCTCCTGGGAAGCCCCCTAAAGAGATGTCTAAGGATGCTTTTGAACTGTGGTGTTGGTGAAGACTCTTGAGAGTCCCTTGAACTGCAAGGAGATCAAACCAGTCAGTCCTAAAGGAAATCACTCCTGAATATTCATTGGAAGGACTGATGCTGAAGCTGAAACTCCAATACTTTGGCCACGTGATGCGAAGGGCTGACTCATTGGAAAAGACCCTGATGCTGGGAAAGATTGAAAGCAGGAGGGGAAGAGGATGACAGAGGATGAAATGGTTGGATGGCATCACGATGGACATGAGTTTGAGTAAGCTCTGGGAGTTGGTGATGGACAGGGAAACCTGATGTGCTGCAGTCCATGGGGTCGCAGAGTCAGACATGACTGAGTGACTGATTTGAACTGAAGGACAGTGAAATCTTTGACTAATGGGTTGTAAGAAACACTGTGAGTAAAAAGTGCTGAATTTAGGCAGTGAGAAGGGACAGTTTTCATGGAAAATTAAAGGTTGAGCAAGGGACAGACACCAAATGTAAAAGCACTGAATATAAAAACTAAACCCAGATGGGACAGTACGGTTGGGAAAAGAAAGCTCTGAGCCATCTGGTGGGGCAATGCAGGGAGATCAAGGGAAGACCAGGAAGGATTTGGATGCAAACTACTTCGAAGACAAATCACTCATACAAACCAGCAGAATTCATCAGCCAATAAAAAGCTGTAATGGGCAGGATCACCAGACTGTTGTTAAATTAGCTAATGAAGGTCATAATGTACCTGTATTACACATCATTAGCAATGGCCTTCCAGTAACAGATGGGTATATGAGAAAGCGAGACAGAAGGGAGGGTGAGCATGTCCCAGAGGGGCTGACTTCGAGCCATGGCTTACTAAAGTGTGTGGCAGGATGATAATGTTGATTACCGTCTCAATTAAACCTTTGCATAAATGCAAGCTTCTGTGTTCCCTGCCCGTGACAAAGTGCACTGCTGCGTGCAGCTTGCCTTTCTCCTGTCCTAATTCATCTCTTAGGTGGAAACCAACAATTCAGAGCATTTGCGGAAAGTGATGGGACTTCGAGGCCCTGATCAGTCCTTGGTGATCTTATCTCTTGTACATGCCTGCTCAGTCTCTCAGTTGTGTCTTACTCTTTTTGACCCCCACAGACTCTAGCCCTCCAGACTCCTCTGTCCATGGGAGTCTCCGGGCAAGAATACTGGAGTGGGTTGTCATCTCCTCCTCCAGGGGATCTTCCCAACCCAGGGATCAAACCCGAGTCTCCTGAATTGCAGGCAGATTCTTTACCGCTGCACTGAACACTTTCTCTCAAGGTTATTTCGGAAACTTTCCTTAATTTTGTATTCTGTTTCCTCTGCTAGGTTACATTTCCTTTTTTTTTTTTTTCTGAAATATGTTCAAATGCACAGCAAAATTAGAAGCATAGTAGAAATAACTCACTGCCCTCTCCCCGCTAGCCGTTTGAGAGTTCTTTGCAAACATGATGACCTTTCACCTGTGAGTACTTAGAGAGTTATTCTTATGAACAAGGACATTGATTTACATAATCTCAATACAGTCAAAATCAGGAAATTAACATCACTAATGTCACTACCATCTAGTCCACAGACCCTGTTGAGTTTCATTAGTTCACCCCAAAATGTTCTTTATAACACAAGTATCCACTCGAGAACCACACGTGGCATTGAATCATCAGGTCTCTTTAATCTCCTTTTGTTTGGTACTGTTTCTCAGTCTTTCTTTAACTTTCATAACCTTGACTCTTTTGAAGACCACACGCTTACTGTTTTGTAGAATGTCCCTCAATATGGGGTTTCCTCCAAGATACATTCAAGTTATGAAATCTTGGCAGGATGAAGACAGAAGGGCTGTTGCATCTTCTCAGATCCTATCTCATGGTGCACAACTCATAACTGGTAATGCTAGTTTTCATTATTTGATTGAGGTGTTGTCTGCCAGGCTTCTCCACTAGTAGATTTTTTTATCTTTGTAATTAATAAATATTTTGTGTCAATGTCCTGTGCCTCATCAAACTTCCACCAACTAGTTTCCATGACCCATTGTCATTTCTTCTGCAAATTAGTCATCATTATAAAGATTCCATTATTTCTTCTACATTTATTAGCTGGCATTCTAATTTAAGGGAAAAGATTTCCCTTCTTCCCATTCATCTCTTTATTTAAATCAGGATATACTTGTGGAATATTTGTTATCCTACTATGTAGGTTATAATTCTTTGCCATCATTATTGGTGTTGAAGCTCAAATTATCAAAGACTGGGCCAGAGAGAGCCCCTTCAAGCTGGCTATGTCCATGTATCCCATTCCCATAATTTCTTTAGTACTTCTTTATGATACAAGGGGGTGTTCTAGGCTTTTATATTACACGTTCCTGCCCCAGCCCTGAATCACACATTTCTCCATTTCTTACTTGTAGGTAGGTGTGCTATTTAGAGATCAAGATCTGGGTGTTAGGTGTGCTCACTGCTCTTGGGGTGTCCCTGCTCCCAGGCCCTCTAGTGGACAGAGCTAGGAACATATACATTTATGACATAGGTTCACTTACACCGTTGCATTTGTATTTATTTCTGTATTTAGCTCCATGTACTGAAAACCAAGCGCTCACTCAGATACTTCCAAAACCAACTCAACACTACAGGAGTCATCCTAGTTTTCTCCCTTTTTGGGTTTGCGACTTCTTTCACCAACAATGGGAAACCAATCAGGCTACATGGAGAGAGAGCTTCGTGATTCTAAACAAAGGGGATCAAATAATTAGGAGAACGGGGACCAGGTATATATTTCCCCCCTCAATTTGTTCCATGAAAACTTATCTCAAACCAGTGGGCTCTACATTTGATTTAGAGTAAAAAGCAGGCAGATGCTGGAAATGGTATGAAATTTAATTTTTGTTTCTAGAGCATCCAGGAGTCTACTAATGGAAAATAAATTTATGTGGAAGGATGCATATTTTTCCTTAATAATTAACAGTGAATGGGGCTCAATCAAAAACTGAAAAGTACTTTTTTATGAACATTAAACTTTTGTAGTTTCATCTTTAATAAGCCTATACACATTCTCTCTTATGTAGTTACTTTCTGAATTGTGGACAGTGAGAATTAAAGAAGCATTTCTGTTTATCAAAAAAATCAGTGTTTCTTTTAATGAAAGGGGAAAAGCAAATGAAACGAAAGGGAAAAGCAAAACACACTCTTCCCACTGTACTGTTTGCAGTTGCTGTTCATTTGATGATACCAGGTTTCCATTAGCTTGGTGTAATTCAAGAGTCCAATAATCACTGTCAAATGCTGAAGATGTTCTGCATAAGTCTGATTTAGAACAGCTATTTGGATCTCAATTATTAATGAAATTAGTGTCCTGAATGTCAGCAAGAGCATTGCCTTAGGTAAAGGCTATAAAGGAAATCATATTAGTGTGGAATTTCCCCTCGTTAGGGGCTCCTCTTAGATTACATGATTCACTTAGCTATCTCCTGTCGGGGAGATTGAAATGTTGGCCATGATCTGATCCTGGGGCAGAACCAAATGGAGAAGTTAGGGGTACTGCAAGGGCATCAATTCCAAAACATTTGTGTGGTGTTGGTATTGCCTTTGGTCCCCTTCAGTGTTCACAAAATAGCGTCAGCGAGGACAGCACAAACTGGCAAAGAGAGGAGGATGGAGGAGAAAGCAGCTCTTTTAGGAAAGACTGAGTGACATTCTATCCAGGAGGCAACTTGTGTTTCTCATCTTCCGGACGTGCCTGGGGAACACTGGCAGGTATAATGGCTCCTCTGTGGCCCTTCGTCCTGGCAGCTGCCTCCGGTGAGTACGTTAGTGATTTTAATAGGCATCGAGTATTAACACCTAGACCCTAGAGACAGGCCTTTCTATGCTGTGCTATGTAACTCCTCACAAGTGTTTGCTTTTGTTTACCATCTGTAAAATGCCAGTCCTGTGAATCTACAAGGAGGCCAACACTTTGTTATGACTTTGCTCCCACAATTACAGGTGCGTGTATCCAGAGGGCCACACAGTGGGGCTTTCCAAAGTTAAAAGTATGCTCTGAAATGTTGTAATTGTTTGATAAATTTCTCCTTCTTTAGAAATCAAGCTCTCTTTACAACAATTCATGTTGAGAGTTTGAGGCATTCTTTTTCAGATTTACTTTTATGTCTGAAGAGTATATTTTTGTTATCCAAAATAGTCTTGGTCTTTAGAAGCTCACAGAGAGCGTCCCTTGGATCCATCATAGCTACAGACACCTGAGTGTCATTTGGTGTTAGGGCTTTACAGCCAGTCCTGCAAAGTCTGTATAGACATGGAGTGTTTCTCAAAAGATGAGCTCTAGAAACTTGCATGTTTTCAATGTGCAATTCCCCTAAAAAAATACTTAAGAAACTAATACATATATGTTGTATGTATATATATATTTATATTTATATGTATATATATGTATATATATATTTCCCCCTACATTTCTGGACTTAAACTTCCATGGTGCCAGTATTAACTCTACCGTATTGAACCATTTGAGTTAGGATACAATCGGTTCCTAGAAAACATGCACAAATCAAAAATTTATGATCACACTAGTGTTTCCCAACACGCCTTGTTCTTGAGGGTTCTCCTAGAGATCGTATCTGAATTTCCATGTTTTAAAATATAACTGAAAGTGGAATGAGTCAATTACAGAGATGAGGAAGGAATTTGGTAGCCAAGCAGCTGGAAATGATTTTTTTATTGGATAGAGAAGAAAAATAGCCACTTATCATTAAAGTTTAAAAATCCTGGATGTTGAACTTAAAGGATAAAAGCATATCTTAATTATAAAAATGAAAACAGAGGAAATTTCATTAAATGCCAAATGGGTTTCTTAGCAGAAAATAATTGTCAACATTAAACGAAGCAAGATAAAATAGAAAAATGAAGGTTTGAAAATAGAAGAAATTCTTCTTAATGATTTCTCTTTTTAATGTTTTGTATTACGCTTGATTTTTGTTCTAAATGTGGCAGAGAAAGTGTTTTAATAGTGTCTCACAGCCAGCACTTGACCATAAATCATACTGAGAATGTTCGTTGCAGAAAAATTTACCCTTTGAAATCTTACTGGGTTAATATCAGGTTGATTTATAAATATAAGAGCATTTAACAAACCACCAGGTTAGAGCCGAACCCAGAGGCAGTGTGCTGGAATAGGATAGGAGGCCTGAGTTAGAACCACGTAGCCCTACCACACTGCTCACCAGCCATGTGACCCTGGGTGAGTCCATGTACCTCTTAGAAATTCTGTTTCCCTGTAAGTTAACTTTTTATTTTGCATATTCATGGAGACCAAATAAGAAAGCATTATGAACTCATAAAGTGCAATGCAAATGTAAGATATGGTTGACCCGAAAACACGCAAACACAGAAAATAACAATGAGCTATTTCTTTCCAAAAAGTACACCATGCAACTCTTCCTTTTTGTTTTTAATTTTATTTATTTTATTTACTTTATTGGAGTATAACTGCTTTACAACGTTGTGTTAGATTCTGCTGTAGAGCAAAGTGAATCAGCCGTGAAAGTGAAGTCGCTCAGTCGTGTCCGACTCTTTGTGACCCCATGGACTGTAGCCTACCAGGCTCCTCAGTCCATAGAATTCTCCAGGCAAGAGTACTGGAGTGGGTTGCCATTGCCTTCTCCAGGGCATCTTCCCAACCCAGGGGTTGAACCTGGGTCTCCCACATTGCAGGCAGACGCTTTACCGTCTGAGCCACCAGGAAGCCCCCTCTTAGTCTTCCCTCCCACCACCATCCCGCCCCTCTAGGTCATCACAGAGCATGGAGCTTGGCTCCCTGTGCTAAGCAGCAGGTTCCCACCGGCTGGCTGTTTTATGCATGGTAGTATTCTACGAGAGAATACACAAGAGAATACACAGGTATTTTCTTCCTCTTGAAGGGTTACTTGCTGCTGTTCCCAGCGTTCTCGGGGAGCCAGGTCAGTGCGGTATCAGAGTAAGAGCTTGGTCTTTGGATCCAGATCCGCCTTGTTTAAATTCCATCCTCTTCTCTTGCAAGCTGTGTGATCTTCCGCAGTACTAACCTCACCAAGCCTAGAGTCCCTCACCTGTAAATGAGTCCTAACAGGGTTGTAGAGCACCTATCTCATAAAGCTCTTGTAGAAGTTAAATGAGGTCATTTATGTAAAGGGCTCTTAGCCTAGTCCCTGGCACACAGCAAGTCATTTAATCAGTATTATGTATTTAATAATACCACCACATCTAAACCACTATTTCTTTGTAACCTCTCAGATATATTGTAACCTCTCAGATATATGTATTGCTATCTCCTGTTCAATAGAAATTGATCAGAGACTAGACAAGAAATTCAGGCAAGTCTTTATTGGGGTCCCTGCTGCAGCAGGGAGAAGCTAACACAAATAACAGGTTCCCTTGCTCACACTCAGAGCTGAGCTGGCTCTTTACATGGGATGAAGGCAGGGGTGGGTCTGTGATCAAGCCAGAGCCGCGGCTCAGGTGTTTTGCCCACCACTTTGGTAGTGTTGTATGCAGGGGGCAAACACGGTACCTTGCTTTTGCTCCCTACTCTTCAGAAGTGGCATTTGGGATTTTGGTCTTTTTGTATCTTGTTCATAATTTGCCCCAACTGCACATGCACACCGGAGAAGGCAATGGCACCCCACTCCAGTACTGTTGCCTGGAAAATCCCATGGATGGAGAAGCATGGTGGGCTGCAGTCCATGGGGTCGCTAGAGACAGACATGACTGAACGACTTCACTTTCACTTTTCACTTTCATGCATTGGAGAAGGAAATGGCAACCCACTCCAGTGTTCTTGCCTCGAGAATCCCAGGGACAGGGGAGCCAGGTGGGCTGCCGTCTATGGGGTCGCACAAAGTTGAACATAACTAAAGCGACTTAGCAGGAGCAGCACATGCACACAGTTGTTTTTAGTCCCTTATAGCTTCTTTGTATTTTGTTTCTCCAGGAGACATTTGTCCAGGTGCAAACACTGCAGCAAACGGCCCTAGGTCCCAGGTCCCAGCCTATTGCAGTCCTAAGTAAGTAAGTAAAGTCGCTCAGTCGTGTCCAACTCTTTGTGACCCCATGGACTATAGCCTACCAGGCTCCTCTGTCCATGGGATTTTCCAGGCAAGAGTACTGGAGTGGGTTGCCATTTCCTTCTCCAGGGGATCTTCCTAGTCTCTTATAATCCTAAAGATGATGTACTCACTAAACCAGAAACAGCTCTTTTCATCAAAGTGCCCAGAACACTTTAAGATAGGTGTGTATGTAACTCATTGAAATAAGGAAAGCAAGGAATAATTCTATTGTATTCTTATCTTTTAAAACCTCTCTTCACCTAGAAGTGCTTCACAACTCAGTTGGTAACGCATTCTACTTTTCAGAAATCTTACAAGTGCGTTATTTGATGCTGATTATTAGCATTCAAGGAGGCAATGCTAGTGTGGTATCTTTGCTGGGTCTGTTGATAGCTTCCATCAGTGTCTGTTGAAACATCACTGAACTGTGAGTCATTTAGTGCTTGTGTGAATGTCACATTAGCTTTCAAGGGGCATAATTTACTGTTAATTAATGGTCACTTAAATCCTTAATCTCTCTCCTGTAATTGATCTTTCTCCTCAGGCAAATTTGCATTCATAGTAGAAATGTAATTTATTATTTCTTCCCATTTTAAACAAAGAACTATTTCCCCCTGTAGTTTATTTAAGCACCCTTTGCTTATTTTTCTCCTATCACTCCGGGTTTCTCTTTTGTTCTTATTTCCAGCTTCCAGAACTTTCTATTTTTACCCAAAGACTTTGACTCATTCTTGAAAATATGTTTATCCATAAGAGACCTATATCCACAGGAAAGATATCAGAGGGGAATTTGAGGCCCTATGAGCAGAGGGTGTAGAGAACATTCATTTCTCAGAATTATTAACTCTGTCTCAGGTGGTTTCCTGTATTGAAACACGCACATTTCAGTGTTTCCCCAGCTGGGACTTGGGAGATTCCAAGCAAGGTAAAACTGAAGTTGCCCAAAATGAAATTCACAGGAAAAACACCAGACTAATTTTGCTTTGGGGTCCAGAATTCTCTCCCGTGGGATCGGCCGGTAAGAAACAGTCCCAAGCAGAGAGATTCAAGGGGAAGGGGGCAGCAGAAGATCAGATGGCTGGATGGCATCACCATTGGTTAGACTCAATGGACGGGAGTTTGAGCAAGCTCCAGGAGATAGTGAAGGACAGAGACGCCTGGCGTGCTGCAGTCCATGAGGTCACAGAGAGCCAGACACAGCTTAGCTCCTAACAACAACAAAAGAGATTCGTACCACATCTTTGACAGTCGCAGTTCACAAAAACTAAAGACGATGCGTGATGTGAGCCACCCACCTTAGTCCCCGCATGCCTGAAGAGCGGCCGCCTCTTCTGGCGTCTTGTTGGATGAATAGTTAGGGAGTTTAAAACGCTCATTAGATTCCCCAGCTTGGATGGTAATGAAAGTGAATATTCCACTGCCCACAGTGAGTCTGGAATGGCCCCGCCAGCACCGTCGTTAGCATTTTGGTCACACTGACATTGATAAATCATAGAAATTGCTGCCTGTGGCGGCAAGTGACATGGCATCATTCATAAAGAGATGGGTATAAACAGGATTGTCGCACAGGGGGAAGGCACCTCATTTACAGTTTCCTGCTGGAGCCTGCGTACCTTCCGCAGCTCATCAAAATAACCATCAAAACCGCTGAGAGTCGCGGTGAATTCACACGCAGGACACCACAGATAGAGTTCGCCGGCGCTGTGGCAGCGGTGTGCAATTTGCTTCAGTCCAATGACTGAGGGAAGCTTTGAATCCCCCAGGGGCCGGCAAAGCTGGTGAACAAAATATCTTTCTGCAATTTCGAGAAAGCCCTCACAGATTTGTCACTTCCAATTGCTGGTGCTCATCTCTCTTGCTTGCTTCCCCCCGGCCGCTCCATCCTCAGCACTCATCACGGCTCCTCCACAAATCAAGATTCCTGGGTCACAGGAAATGGTTGTCCCCTGGAACCTCAGAGATTTTCCCCAAAATGAAGCTCTCGTTTTCTGACAAGTGCATTTTCAGACAGACTGAGTGAGAGAACAAACATGATTTTTGAGGAGAAAAATATGAATTGGATTTTCCTTGATTCCGTTGTTTAGAAATCCACACAGCTCTTTGGATTCAAGTGGTTTGTCCATGTTTCTGCTTGGGTTTTCTATGTGATTTTTGAATTATAAATGGAAAAATCGAAAGGAAAAATCCAAGGAGGAAGTTGGCTAAGTGCATTGGAAGCTTCCTCCTGTGTACCAGGAGAGGGTGATACAGGAATGAAGAAAGGATGCTGTCTTCAAGATGCAAGATAGCTGTAAAAATGGAAACGGAGTGCAAGTTAGCATCCTCCGAGATGGAGTTGGTTTATTTATCCTGACAATGAGATTTTTCATTGGGCATTTAGGCTATCAGCTGACTTAATTTTTTTATTCTTTATTGAAGCATGGTTGATTTACAGTGTTCAGTTGTGCAGAAAAGTGACTCATTCACACACACACACACACACACACACACACATGGGCTTCCCAGGTGGCGCTGGTGGTAAAGAATTCCCCTACCACTGCAGTGGACATAAGAGATTTGATCCCTGGGTTGGGAAGATCCCCTGGAGTAGGGAATAGCAACCCACTCGAGTATTCTTGCTTGGAAAATTCCGTGGACAGAGGAGCCTGGCAGGCTACAGTCCATGAAGCTGTAAAGAGTTGGCCATGACTGAGCACTTTTACTTACACATATATATTCTTTTTCAGTTTCTTTGCCATTGTAGGTTAGATAAGATGTTGAATATATGTTCCCTGTGCTATACAGTAGGTCCTCGGTTGTTTTTTTTTAAAACCTATTTTATATATTGTGTATCTGTTAATCCCTAATTCTCAATTTATCCCAACCCCCTCTTTCCCATTTGGTCACTGTAAATTTGTTTTCTGTATCATCAGCGTACTTTAAATGTGTCTGACAAAATGTCCATGAGTTGGTTGGGAACTTCAGCAGATTGGGGTGTGCTAAAAACTGTATTCTTCCAGGAGCGACCGAACCCTGGGGAGTCTGAAGTCTCCTGAAGATGCTAAGTTCTTATTTTCACCCTCACAGTGATAGCTTTCTTTTTCAGGAATCCTGGCCATGGATACACCTTATTCCAGTAGTCCAGCTCTGCATCATCTCACCAAGCAGCTATTACAGACGTATCGGAAGGAAGTAAGGCCAGTTCACAACTGGACCCAGGCCACCACTGTATACTTGGACGTGTTTGTTCACGCCGTGCTGGATGTGGTAAGGACCATCCTACTGTCCCCTAGTCCCGTGATTCTTTTGTAAAACTACCCGCTATTTATGCAAGAGAAGTTTTTTCTTGAGACTCTCATTGAGCCGATAGAGAAGTTGGTATTAGATACATCTTAGCAGTGAGCCTAGGGTACCTGTTTATTGGACAAATCATGCTAACTAGCCTCCAGCTTACACTGTGAGGGGCAGATAGTCTAGAAATAGGGATTTCACAGAATTAAGATGCTTTCAAAAAAAAAAAAAAAAGATGCTTTCAGAGTTGTGGGCCTTGGTCACACACATATTTATGAGTATTGCTGCAACCAGAAATGGTAATAGATATTATTTTCTGTGGTTCACATTTCTTAGTGGTAACAGTAGGTTTATGAAACAACTTCTACAACTTACTGCTTGCAATTTTAAAATAAGAAAAAAAAATGTCATGGTTTCCTGAGTTTTTAAGGGACTTTATACCTAAGATATTTGCTAAGGGTGGTAGGAAGGTTTGTTTATTAACGCGTGTCTTTCCTACTATGGCCGAGAAATGGGTTATTGTGGGAATTAAATGAGAAAATGCATGTAGTTACTAGAGATCTTAGTAAACCCTCAGTAGATGATAGACAATATAATTATCTCTGCTTCTTCTTTCTCTTTTTTCTTAATTACAAAGTCTTCAATATTAATAGATTCTAGATTTACTTTGATTTCTTTTAAAAGCAGACTTTACTGAGCTCGTTTGTTAACATAGTTAAAAATTTTTTTTCAATTTACTTTTCAAAACCTTTTACCAGTTGAGAAGTAACATACAGATATTGAAATGCACGGATGTTAAGTGTATAGTTCAATGAGTTTTCATAATTGCATGCACCCACATAATTCATATCCCTATGCATGTATCAAACATTTCCATCACCTTACAAAGATGCCCCATTTCTTTTCCAATCACCATCCCCTCTATCCACACACCATTCTGATTTCTGTCATCATAGATTATTTTTGCCAGTTCTGGAACTTCATAAGAATGAAAATTTACTGTGTGTACATTACTGTGTCTGGATTTTTCACTCAGCATAATTTTTTTCCCTGTATTTATTTATTTTTTTAAATATTTTTTATTATGGTAGAAGCCAAGTAATATAAAACATACTGTTTTAATGATATTTAACTGTACAGTTCAGTAGCACTAAGGACATTCACACTATTACGCAACTCTCACCATCGCCTATCTCTGAAATTTTTCACCTTCCTAAACTGAAATTCTGTCCGCATCCAACACTAACTCCCCATATACCTTCTCCACCCCACCCCATCCCCTGACCTTGGGCATCTACCAATGTACTTTTTGACTCTCTGAATTTGACTGTTTTAGGTACCTCGTATAAGTGGAATCAAACAGTATTTGTCTGCACCTAATATATATTGAAATGTTTTTTGAGGTTCATTCATGTTGTACATAGTAGCTTTTCTTTTTTATGGATAGGTAGTATTTGGTTATGGCTATACCATGATTTGTTTATCCACTCTCCTGTTGATAAGCATTTGTGTTGTTTCCAGTTTTAGTATATTATGAATAAAGCTATGAACATTTCTGTACAAGTATTTTGCTGTACATATGCTGTACATATGTAAAACCTAGAAGTGGAATAACCACCACTTCTCATAGAATAGATATATATTTAATGAGATACTGCCAGATTGTTTTAGAAAGTGGTTGTACATTGTAACTCCCACCCATCAGCTATGAGGGTTCCCATTTCCCCACATCTTCACCAACATTAGGTATTATCAGTCTCTTTAATTTTAGCCATTATGGTAAACGTGTAGGAGTATTTCATTGTGTTTTTTTCATACATCCCATGACTAATAAATAGGGACTCTTTTCTAATGTGCTTACTGACCACATATGTATCTTTCCTTGTGAAGTATCTGTTTAAATCTTTTCCTATTTTTTATAGTGTTGGTTGTTGTTTTTTTTGTTATAGATTTATAGGAATTGCTTGTATATTCTGAATACAAGTCCTTTGTCATCTGTGTAATGCGAATGCTTATTCTCACTTTGTGGCTTGCCTACACATTTCCCTAATGGAGCTTATGATGAACAAAGTTTTAAAATTTAATGAGGTCCAATTTTACCAGTTCCTTTATTTATGGTAGTGTTTTCTGGATATCGTCTTAAGAAATCTACTCTACGTTCATCAAAACCTTTCCTGTATTTTCTTTCAGAAGATTTATGATTTTTAGTTCCTTATATTTAATTCTATGATCTGTTGAGAATTAACTTTTATAATGGTGTGAAGTATAGGTCAAGGTTTTTATTGTTGCTGATTTGGGTTTTGTTTTTGCATTTAGATAGAACTTGTTCCAGCACAATTTTTTTAAAAGTTTTCCTTTTTCCATTGAATTGCTTTGGTATCTTGACTGAAAATTACGTTAACTGAGAAGTGTCAAACTATTTGTTATCTTGATATCAGATAGTATATGACTTTGAACTTTATTCTTCATTTTTAAGATAGTTTGACTTTTTAGGACCTTTGTACTTCCAAATAAATTTTATATTCAACTTATCACATTTTACTTAAAAAAAACCTGCTGGGAGTTTGTTTGGAATGCTGTGAGATCCACAGAGAAATTTAGGGGGAGAATTGATATTTTAACAATATTGGATTTTCCATTTACTGAATATGGTATTTCTTTCCATTTATTTGGGGCTTCAGCAGTGTATTATTTTTAATGTAGAAGTTTCATACATGTTTCTATTAAACTTATTCCATAGTATTTTTGATGCTGTTATAAATATTACTTAAAATTTTAAATCTTCTATTTATTTGTTGTTATTATAAAGAAATTGGATTGATTTTGTTAATTAATTAATTTTAATTAATGTTGACTTTGTGTCCTGTGACCTTGCAAAATTCACTTACTAATTCCAGTAGTTCTTTTAAAATTAATATTTTCTACATATCCAATCATTTCATTTGCAAATAGTTTTACTACTTCCTTTTTCAATCTGTGTGCCCTTTATTCTTCTTATCTTGTCTTATTGCATTGTCCAAGACCTCTTCAGTGTTAATGGGAGTGGCGAGAGCAGATTATCTGTATTTGTTCCATCCTCAGGGCAAAATCTTTCACCATTAAATATGGGATTAGCTATAGATTTTTCATAAATGATCTTTATCAAGTTGAAGGAGTCCCCTCCTATTTTTGTACACTGAGAGATATTTTTAAAATCATGAATGTTATGAAGTACACCAAATATTTTTCTCAATCAATTTGAATGGTCATATGATTTTTGTTTTATGCAGTTAACACAGTAAATTATTTTTGATTGATTTCAAATGTTAAACCACTCCTGCATTCCTAGAATAAACTCTACTTGATCCTGATATGTTATCATTTTTATATATTTCTGAATTTGAATTCCTACTTATGATAGGTTGCATCTATGTTAATGAGGAGTATTGGGCTATGGTTTTATTTCTTGTAATGTAGTTGTCTGTTTTTGGTGTTGGTTTTATAAAACCAGATGAAAACTCTTCCCTCTTCAATTTCCTGAAGGAGTTGTGTAATATGGATAATTTTCTTCCCTAATGTTTGATAGAATTCACCAGTAAAACTATCTAGGGCTGGAGTTTTCTTTGTGGGAAGGTTTTTAAATATAAATTCAATTTCACTAACACATATATGATTTTTCAAATTTCCTTTCTTGTGTCACTTTTGGAATTTATATTTTTCAAGGAATTTGTGTGTTTTATCAGAGTTGCAAATTTATTTTTTCATAATATCCCCTTTTAATTCTTTTAATGTCCAAAGTCTCACCAGTGATGCTACCTCTTTCATTCCTCATATTAGTAATTTGTGTTTTCTCTTATTTCCCTTGACCAATATTGTCAAATTGCTTATCAATTTAATTTATCTCTTTAAAGAACCAAATGTTGCTTTTGAATTTTCCTTACAGTGTCTATTTCACTGATGCCTACTCTTACATTTATTTCCTTTCTTCTGCTTACTGCACTTAATTTGTCCTTTTTTGTCTAGTTTCTTAAAATGGAAAGTTGTATTATTGAGTTTAAACATATTTTCTTTTCTAATTTTAGCATTTACAGTTAAGAATTTTCCTCCAAACACTAATTTAACTGCATCTTATGAAATTTTGATGCATTTTTAAATTTGAGGTATGCCGTATACAAACTGAAACCCATCTTTTTAAAGCCAATCCCTTCCCCCCATCATCCCAGTCTCTGGCAGCCACAGATTTTATTTTTCTCCTATGGTTTTGCCTTTCTCATATAAACGGAATCACATTGTATTTTCCTCTTTGTTGTTTGGCTTCTTTCACTTAGAATAACACCTTTGAGATCCATCCATGTTGTGTTGTTGCATGCATCAACAATCAGAAGTAGCATTCCATTGTGCAAATGTACTGCAATTTGTTTATGTATTTACCAGTTATTGGACATGTGAGTTATTTCTGAGTTTTAGCAATTTTGAATAAAATCACTATAAATATTTGCATATGTTTTTACTTCTGTTGGATAAATACTTGCAAGTGGGAGTGTTGAGTTGTATAAGGCAATTTCAACTTTACAAGAAACTGTCAAACTGCTTTCCACAGTGGCTGTATCATTTTACATTCCACCTGCAAATTATGAGAGTTTCAGTTCCTCCACATGATTACCACACTTGATATTGTCAATCTCTTTAAATGCTAACCATTCTGTTAGTTTCATGGTGGTATCTCAGTTGGTTTTAAACTCATTTCACTAAAGACTAATGATGTTGAACATCTCTCTGTGTGCTTACTTGTCAACTATGTATCTTTTAAAACAAAGTATTCACTCAAATCTTTTACTTTTTAAAAAATAGGGTTGTTTACCATCTTATTATTGAGTTGCAAGAGTTCTTTGTACAATTTTAGCCTGTTTCTGGATTCTATTCTGTCCAACTAGTCAATATGTTTCTGCTTACATCAATATACTGTGTCAATTACTGCTCATTACAGAAGTCTTGAA